AATAGCTGATCATCTTTTTAACTCCATGAATGCCAAATGTGATGCAAAGGATCCATTGTGGCGTTGCTCTGCTCATGTGGTGAACAGCAGCTCCTTAACGCCCCCTTTAGTCATTCAAAACTTGCACAGTTGTTGCTTTCATGTGGTGAACAGCAGCTCCTTAAACACAACACCCCCCTTTAGTCATTCAAAACTTGCACAGTTGCTCTGATTTAGTCCACTTTCAGCACGTGCCAAATTTCTGATAAAGATCTTACCCACTTCACGAACCCACTATGTGCCTTCATCTTCAGAACATTCAGAACTGGCTGTTACCACTGATCCACAACAGCAATTGAGAAGCAGCACAGCGAGAACAATTGTGACCAAATATATGCAAAAATGGAAAGCAATGGCTCTCGAAAGGCCAAGAAGAAAGCTCAGTGTTTATTATAGCAATGTTTATTATTCATTTTGAGTTTGGAGGAAATAAAAAAGAGGAAAAAAAAGAGAAAAACTCTACATAGAAAAAGGAACATTGTAAGAGATTCAAGGAAAACAGCCACCACAGAGGCACCTGAGAAAAACACCACAATTATATAAGGCACAGATAAATCACAATTTACAGAATCCATAGCTCTGTACTGTAATGTCACTTTTCTCTTATAAAGCAAACTGACACAGCTACGAGAACTGGTGATTGATCAAAGGAGAGGAATGCTCAGCTGCGACTTGGGCCAATGTGGGTGTGTGGGCTGTTTCTTTTCTTTTCTTTCATTAAAATATATATTTAAAATCAACCTACTTTGAAGATTTTGTTTTTATATCCACTGGAACAGAAGCTGAGCAGACATGAAGACTTCAGGGAAGAGAAGCTGGAAGGAACATTATATTTAATCAATGGGTAAATTTACTCAAGGAGGATGGCAACCTATTTTTAATTGCACAGTTCAACTTGCACAGGCAGCTGGCAGGTCTCCTGTGCCATTTTCAGCACAGAGTCTAGTGTGTGAACTTCTCCCGTTCTCAGAGTCAAATATTTTCCTTCCTCCCTCAGCAGAATAGATTTTCATTTTTAGAAGCATGCCTCTGGACACAATTCTAACGCTAGAATGGTCTTCCAAAATAGTGTTTCTCCGCTAGAGTCAGGTGTACTATGTGCTGGTTTGTTTCAGTTCCATATGTAGATATTCCACCTGCATTAAGAAGAGCTTCTCAGAAGAAAGAGATATTCCAGGATATTAATCAGCCAGAGGAAAAAGGTCTTGCTTTTAAGAATCAAGGACAACTTTTGGGTCATCTCTGACTCAGACTGTTGCTAAACTGGGAAAGGAGCCCCCACACAGTGAATCTGAGCAGATGAACATCCAAGCTGGTATCACTCTGTGTCAGAGATACTTCTAATTTTTATACATGGGTGTTTTGTAAACAAAAGGAGCTTGAATAGAGATGGATCTTCTATTCAGTTATACACAATGGCTGAAATCCTGTTGGGTAGGTATGCAAATCCTGCCAACCTAGCAGTTCGAAAGCATGTAAAAATTCAAGTAGATAAATAGGTACCACCACGGTGGGAAGGCAACGGCATTCCATGTCTAGTCGTGCTGGCCACGTGACCATGGAAACTGTCTTCAGACAAACGCTGGCTCTATGGCTTGGAAACGGGGATGAGCACTGCCCCCTAGAGTTGGACGCAACTGTACTAAATGTTAAAGGGAACCTTTACCTTTAGTTATGCAAAAGAGGTAACTTTTAGCAACAAACTGCGATAAGTTAAGAAATCTCCATAGGCGTTATCTTTGCAAATTGAGTTGCACAACGCAAAATGCAACAGATAATACCTATGGAGACTTCTTAACTGATGGTAATTCATTGCTAAAAAATTAAGCCTTTCACATAACTGCTCAACAGGATTTCAGTCATTAGCTATGATCAATTTCTAAAACTCATCCATATGTGTATTCCTCCTGAAATTAGTAGGCCCACTGACACCCAAAGCATTTTCTGGGATGCAGATCTTATCTTGGCATCCAAGCATACAAGTAAGTTAGAAAGGAGAACTGAGTAGGGGTGGGGGCAGGATGCTTAGGACATAGATTCAGATAAACATTGTGTAGTTGATAAACTGAGATTTGTTGTTGTTGCTAAACACTAGTGCCTATTGGTCAAGGAAAAAAAGGAAACCATTGCTATGGTTTAAAAATTAGCCATACTCTCTCAAAGCTGTGGTGTTGAGTCTGAAAACAAATCAAACTGTTACATTTTAAAGCTAAGTAGACTCAAATGTAGCTGCTATCTGAATGGAAAACTACCCAAAACCCACATGAAATCTGCATTGAGCTTCCTGCAGGAAATCTATGACAAATTTATGGAATAAATAGCACCTGAAATGAAGCCAATGTATGCACCAGGTAAACTGTACAACTGATTGTGTAGCTTGAATACAACTTGACAATATGCCTGGTAGCCCAGCAGAGATGCAACAAGACTGTTTCTGGTGCTGTCTAGGACTGGAAAAACACAAGAGGTAACTAAGCACCAGACAGATGCCAAGAGGTGGCTACTGGACTGTATTCACCTCAGTGACCAGCTTACAGACCTAAACTCTAAATACATGTTTACATGGCAGTTCTCTCCACTTCAGTGACATGCTTTAGAGAGGTACTCTTTGGTGAGTGATTGGGGCCTGCCTATGAAACATTTTTCCCTAGAGATATCACCATGTCAGCCCTTGTATGGCCCCTTGCTTACCCCTTCCCTAAGCAGACTTCAATGTGTGTCCTTCAGTGTTTTGAAAAGGTGGGTCTACACTCCAGTTCTTAAGAACAGATTTGATTTCTACTGAGAATTTTAATATAGATGTCAGTTTAGAAAGTGGCACCTTGTAAAGTATTATAACATTTTAGAAACATGTAACAGTACATTGCCATAGAATATTCATTTCATCCACTGCAGAAAGATATCCACTAATGACAGATGCTACAGCTGATTTTCCTGACTACACTGTTAGCAATACAATTATTACAGTGATGCAGTATATGAACACATAACAACTACTTTAGGGTGGATAAGCCTCAGAGGGCAATTAATACACACCCAGTTGCAACTTCTTCTCTTTCTTTATTGTCTCCTGGAACCTGTACATTTTGATTTTTTGCAAATCTTCTTCACCATAATCTCAACAAGTAATGTCCACTATGTAGGCATCCTTCATCTCGAGAGACTATGGTAACGTGTCCTGAACAGAGGTCTTGGAACAGCATCTAGTGTGGCTGAGAAGGCCAATACGAGAGTGACAATCACTTTCACACTGAAGACAAATACAATCTGGCCCCTGTCCAGCTCCCTGATTTTGCTGGTTTCAGGACTGCTTCTTTGCCTCAGCCTGCTGGACAAGGGTCTCTTCAAATTGGGAGAGGCCATGCTGCACCGCCTGCCTCCAGGCTCAACGCTCAGATGTCAGGGTTTCCCATCTGTTGAGGTCCATTCCTAAGGCCTTCAGATCCTGCTTGCAGATATCCTTGTATCGCAGCTGTGGTCTCCCTCTGGAGCAATTTCCCTGCACTAACTCTACATACAGGAGATCTTTTGGAATTCGACCATCAGCCATTCTCACGACATGCCCAAGCCAACATAGATGTCGCTGTTTCAGTAATGTATATATAAATGCTAAAAATTCCAACTTGTTCTAGGACTACTCTATTTGGAACTTCGTCCTGCCAGGTGATACCAAAAATTCATCAGAGACAGTCAGGTCCTATACAAAATACCTTTTACTGTTGTCATGGCTCTCTTTTTTAATAACCTTCATCCAAGCCCACAGTACTTGGCAATTCTTGGTTCACTGTACTCCAAACATGACAGCATTCCATGCCACAAAAATGAGCACAAGTACTGCAGTTGACAAATAGTCACACCCCAGTGCAACATATGCCAATGCATATTCACTGTATGCAGTATGCACATGTATTCTTCAGCAAACAAAATGTTTAAGCAGACAGATTGTCTGGCTCCCCCAAAAGATGGTATCACCAGTGCACATTCTACAATTGGTAAAGCATACATACTCATATACATACACACTCAAAAGGCCTATATGGCAGCGGGGTCAAATTGAAACAGTCTAATTTTTTTAAAAATGATCCATTCATTCACTGAAACAGTAAGGTGTAGCAGTTCTAATCACATATGGCAAAGAGCAAAGAAGTACTGCACAGCTGCTTATTAAATTCATATCCAAACCCATGTCTCATACCTTTTGCATTTAACAATCATGTTGTAATATACTATTGTTCAGAAACAGGTATCTGGCCAGCCAACTCACATTAGATTGGATGGACTTTTAGGCTTAGTGATCATCCAAGCAATCTACACATCCTTGGGCTTTAATGTTTTTATGACATCTTACACATCATTCTCCACAATCAAAATATGGCTTCTTAATATACTTTTTGGAGAAATGCTATCCATTGTCAGTAAACAAACTACAACTCAAAGGTTTTGTTTGGCATGCAGAAGTTCCTTCTGTGAGGGAATTCATCAATTCAAAATGTCTTTATGAGTTCAGAATTTATACTGGGTTGCTTTATTTATTTATATTTAAGCTGTAAGAATCAAATGCCCTGCTTTTACATATACTGAGCCCAACATCATGAGGAAAATCACAAAAGGGCATGTGCCCACTGCTAAAAACATTACAACCTGCCTCTTACTGCATAATTTTAGAAGTGATCAGTACTATCAGCCCTGAAAATTTGGTCACTTAGTGGGAAGGAAGGATTTCCTGGATCCACTTCTGCTTTTTTTTTCTTGTTAATCCACAGAAATGGCATCCATTTTCATTTGCATACATCAGAAATAAACAGACAAACAAACCTTAACTGAGTATCAGGAAAAACTTCTTAACTGTTAGAGCAGTATGACAATGGAACCAATTGCTTGGGAGGTGGTGTGTGCTCCAATGCTGGAAGCATTCAAGATAAAATTGGACAACCATCTGTCAGATTGGCTTTGATCTGGATTCCTGCACTGAGTGGGGGTTGGACTCGATGGCCTTATAGTGCACTTCCAACTCTATGATTCTATGAATGCCAAGTTACTGAGGGTTAGAGTTAGTGGAAATATATCTCTAGTATTTCTTGACAAAGACATTCAAAGACACTTGAATTTTTTCCAGATTACGAACAAACACACAACCTCTGCTTCATTGCACCAGTTTCTGATTTGCTGAAAAATGCCAGAGGACAGCTTTTTGTTTCCAGTATGTTGTATTAACTGGAGGAAGGGATGAATAATAATTGCAATAACAATAGACCTATTAGCATATCTTCCATTTCCCCCAGCTGTTTTCAGTTTGTAAAGGCCTTCTTGTTAAGTGGCTGAATTTGAGGAAAATTATTTACAGCTGTTCAGGTAACAATACTGCAGGCAGCAATGCTGCCTGCCTGCGCTGTTTAACTAGAACTGCGTGGATTCCACAACACAATGGGACTCAGGGAGACTGAGCTGTCGCATTCTGGTGCACAAAGTTTGCATGGTTGGGCAACATGGGCCCACAAGACAGATGTTGGCTTTGGTTTCTCCATAGCTCTGTTTTGGTTAAGCAGGAACAAGTGGGACTTGCTTCAAAGAAAAATTGTCAAAACAAAGAGCTAGAAAGAGCAAAAGTTCAGTTAATTCACCGTCTTCTCTAAAGGCAGCCTTATCCATCAAACCGACTTCAACTTATGCAACCCAGATCTCATATAGGATCTTAGCGTATGAGCTATTTCTGTTTCTGATTATGCCATAACAAATACTCCCATTTTTCCCAGAAGAACTGGCTTCCCGTCATCACAGGAAATGAAGAGTTGAAAAAAAAAAGTGAAACAAATGAAACATTCTGGGATATGATTGATCAAATACTATAAAAATTAGAACTGTAATTTATTCCAGTCCACAGACCACAAAGGTTTGGCTAACTTGTCAAGAGCGTGGGAGTGTTTGCTTAAAAGCAAGTAGGAATAATTAGAATCCTTTCTTACCTCCATCCTTGATTGGCGAATTGCTGTGAGTGCATTACCATAACTAGGTCTGAAGAGGTAAAACTATAATTCTATTTTGTAGTTTTATTCCATGTTTTTAACTCATTCCTGCCAAATATTCCTAGGGCGGCACCCTCGCTCACAAGAACAATCCGCTCCTGGTTTGATCTGGCTTCTTCTCCCTTTTTCTGATGTGATTCGAAGCCAGAACAAATCACAAAAGTCTATGAGTTGCCCGCCACATGGCTTCTAAATCACTGGTTTTCTCTCCTCTCTCTAATTTTTTTAATCCAAGGAGCTACCTAATCATTTCATACTTGTCACTAAAAAGAGCCTGGAAAAAGTTACTTTTTTGGATGACACCCCATAGAATCTCCCAACCAACATTAGAGATTCTGGAAGTGGTCAATTCCAAAAATGTATTTCCCAATCACTGCTACTGACATGTAAGCTGCAACGTTAAGAGACACTATGCTCCTGTTGCTCAGTCTAAGTCCTGCTGAAAAAGCTGAACTGGTTGAGGAGGAGTGTTGGGAGGAAAAGGGAGTCATGGTATATAGATGAAAGTGCTTTAGTACTCTTCAGTCAGAGACTTATTTCAAAAGTAAGCACCACTGAACACAATATGATTTACATCTGGTGAACATGCATAAGATTTAATTGCATGTAACCAAATAACTTATTAAAGGCACTGTTGATCTGTTGTCTAAGCAGTGGAAGTGACCACCGGTGGTTAAAGGCATGGTTGTTAATCTATATTATACTACAACATGGATCTGTTCACGGCCTTCATTAACTCTTGAAACAAAGCCAGTCCTTCCACACACATCACTAATCATGACTCCTACTACCTCTCTCCTGCAAGCTTTCCTAGTAGTATGATTACACATATTCAAAATCCAGATCCAGACATAGAATAAGCCCGTCCAAATCAACAGAACACACTAGTTTTTCATGACTTTCTTAAATCTCATTAATGTCAGTGAATCTTCTCTGGACATAATTAAATCAGCTATTATCTACAATTTTAAAAAAATCACACTTGATTTTTTTGGAAAAGAAAGTACGTCCCTTGCCTTCATGACTGGGAAGGAAAAACTGAAAACTCATAGACAGTAAAGACTAAAAAGTTAGGGAATGATCAGAGTACTGTTTTGCTATAGCATGAATTGTTTCTTCTACTATCATGGATAATTGATCACATACTTTAATCTTGTCTGAGCTATTGTATCTGGAGTGATTAAGGAATGCCTATTAAAATATCTAGAATTCAGTATTTTAAACATCTGTTTGCATTTGCTGGATACACTTAGGTGGAAGGTCACTAGAGGCAAAACAAACAAACAATAAATAAACAGGGCTCCTGAACCTTTAATAGTTGCACAGAAAAAGAATTTCAAGCTACACCTGCTGAAATTCCTTAGTCTTTTAACTTTAAAGGTATAGTATATGCACTCTGTTCTCTTCTGCGCCTAGCCTCAATACCCAGGTGTGGCACTCTTCTTGGCTTCTAGGAGACACCAGCAGCCTGTGTAGCTGTGCTACAGCTACTCATTGCACAGTGAGCTATCCCCATTCTACTCAGATTACAGGCCACTAGTGTTAGGAGATATGCTATTAAGTTGTTTTTAACTTAAGAGGTTTCTAACTCCTAACAGGGTTTCAAGATATGTAAAATGTTCCTGGGGTGGTTTACCTTTGCTAGACACACACACCAGAGAATTTTGATGGTGAAGAGTATGTAGATCTGAGGTATCCTGAGTCCTAGTTAAACATTCTATCCATGATACTACACAGGCTCTCAGGACATACAGAAAGATAAGTGTTCACTAAATGTTTTTAGTGAACACGCCTAAATATTTTCAGTTATGTACTCTGAAGTGAAAATTTCAGGAAGGTGGCATTCTCTTCCCACTTTTTACGTAATTGTTTTTGCAAAACACCTCAGGATCATAAAAGGAACTAAAAGCAGATCTTGTGGAATGTAGCGCCAAAACCAAGCTGGGATTTTGTTGCTGGAGCTTATTAACTAATATGTCTTCATTAACTTTATTAATTCCTCAAAACATATGGAGAGACCAAAGGCATACATCTACTTTTCTCCCACTGTGCAATGGTGTTTGTCTTGCCACTGCCGTAAGATCCAAACACACTTTGTGAGACGAAAAAGAGTCAACACACTGGGCTCCAGGGCCACCACATGTATTTTAATAGCAGTCATTGGTGTAGTGGCCTTAGAAACACATAATGGACTCTTTCACAAGACCAAGTTTTATAGAATAAATGCATCACATAAGTAAGAATGTCAGAAATCACTGCTGATTGAAAATAAAGTGATTGTGCAAATGCACACAAACGCGCAGATCATGACAACAGTATACAGCTTCACATCCATTTGCAGTTTTGCATCAACACACCCTTTTTGTATGCAAAGAGCCCGGCTGTAGCCACTGATGTTACAAACACAGAGAATCCCATCAACTTCAGTAGTGCTGATACAGAAGGTAAGTTCCTCTCCCAAAATGTAGTAGTGATGGGCAGGGCTGGGACATCCTGGAAGGAAGAATAATCACTATTAATGTGGGTGCTCCACCTTTCTGATACTACAGCTGGGGACAAAGTGTAACTAGGGACTAAGAGACGCCATTGTAGCAGAAGCCAAATGTGCCTTAGTAATGATCCCCAGCTAATTTGGGGGTGATCTGGCTAACTGTAGGTTGAAGCAAAATGCTCTAAGTTAATAGATGATGGGTAGATCCAGTAAAGCAATGTTATGGACAGCTGGGAAAGGTCAGTTTTTTTGGATCACAGCTGGCTGTGCAGGGAAGGGTATATTGGAGGCAACTGTCTAAAAAAGGCACATTTTCTGAGCTCTGGTTTTATATTCTTATCAAGTTATGATTCTGTGCATCCATGTGTGGGAATAAACTCCACCGAGTTCAATGTAACTCTTATGTCTCAGCAAACATGCAGAGGACAGTTCTGTTACTTGTGGACATGCACAGTGTATGTTACAAAGTGGTTGGCATTTATACAGTCTGATCAAATATATAAAGTACCATTCCATTTCAAAATTGCTGGTTATCATTGTGAGAAAAATAATGAACTTACAAGTGATTCAGGTTCTGATTTCCAGATTTCTCCTTCTGAGATTTTCCCCATAGAGCACAATATCTAAAAGAGTGAGAACATTTCATATCAGAAAGCTATTGCCCTATATGCAATGGTGTGTGCAAAGGTACCTGCTTTCTAGACTGTCTACCGTGTACTTGGTCTTCCTCAAGCTGCACAGTGGATGATCATGTAGCCACTTGCATGAACAGGTGCATGATCAGGTGTGCAACTGAAAGCCCAGGGAACAAGGAAACAGTGTGTGTAATTGTTTTATGCAATCATTGTTTTTAATCAGAAAGGCTCAAGGCATCAGTGCAGATCATATCAAGTCATAAAAAATGCTACTCCCATGTAAGGAGATGTAGAAATTAGAGATGGGCATGAAATGAACCACAACCCCCCCCCAAAAAAAAAGCCCCACAAACCAGGCTGGTTCCTGGTTCATTTTTCTAGGGAGGTGTGGTGGTTTGTGGCTAGTGATAATAAATACAGTGGTGCCTCGCTAGATGATAATCCATTCCACTGAAATCGCTGTTTTGCGAAATCATTGTCTAGCGAAAAGCATTTCCCCATTGGAATGCATTGAAACCTGTTTAATGCGTTCCAATGGGGAAGAATCATAATTGTCTAGCGAAGATCGGCCATATGAAAGCCACTTTGCAAACGGCTGATCAGCTGTTTAAATCGCTGTCTTGTGAAGCTTAGGTCCCGAAAACACCTGTTTTGCGAGCGCGGAGGAAGCTGTCAAAATCGTCATCTAGCGAAAATCGGTTTGCGAAGCAGGGACCAAACTTTGTCCAGCGAAATTCCCCCATAGGAATCACTGTTTTGCAAATCGCTATAGCGATCGCAAAAAGTCAATGTCTAGCGAAAAAACTGTCATGCGGGGTAACTGTCTAGTGAGGCACCACTGTAACCAGTTTTCCGGTTTCTGCCCATCTCTACTACACACATCCTTCACCTGAAATCAAAGTCAAGTCTCTGCACTGGTTTTCAATGTTGGAATTATGGACAATTCAACATGCAATTTGATGTATGAACACCTGTGAGGAAGGAAGTGCTGGTAAGACTAACTTGCTGGGTAGCTTCCATGCTCGTCCTCCCTCTCCTGACCAAATCAGCAGCACTCTTTCTTTGGCAGGCAAAGACAACTCCTCCCTTATCTTCAATTGTTTTTACTGCCTTTGTATAAAAAGAGAACCTTTGGGGACATCAAAGAGAAAGGATGCTCTTTTGAGTTTCTCCTCTTCTCATGTCCACAGTTTTCTTTCAGCCATCCTGAGAGAACCCACCCACCCCCTTTTTTTAGTATGTTAACATTTTTCTTCCTTCCTTCTATTAACCTCTGAAGTAGAGATAGGGATATTCGTTTTTGTAAAGGAATACGAGTGTCCCTGTCCCAGCTGCACCTAATGTGGGTCCAGTCCCTGGAACCGGACTGTCCACTCACACGTCACCATGCTGTCAGCTTCCCGCTCTTCCCGCCAATTGCAGAAGTAGCTCCGCTGTCTCCCTGCTCGGCTGGCCACTCAGCAGTCATGTGGGGAGACTCGTCCTCCCACCCCCTGCCTGGAGTGGCCAGGCAAGCCGGGAGACTGTGGAGCTACTTCCGCAACTGGTGGGAAGAGCAGGACGCTGACATGTGAGTGGATGGGCTGGTTCTGAGGGCTGGACCCATATTAGTTGCAGCTGGGATGGGGACATTCGTATTCATTTACTAATACAAATATTCCCATCTCTACTCTGAAGCCTTTCTACTTTATTGAACTCTTCTGTAATCAAGTTCAACCCTACAATTTGTAGCCTCAGTGAGTAAAGAGCTATTTTCTTTTTATATTAAAAGCAGTGTCCGAACTGGTTAAATGTAGTGGGGTGTGCATATTTGGAAACTTGCTATTCAATTTTAACTCCTAATGTTACTAGTTGTTCCATTGTGTGATAAAGGGAATTAAAGATACTGTATTCCTCTCTGCCAGTACTACACAGCCAATCACTCTAATATTTAAATAGACTATTTATAGGAAAGAATTCAGAATTACACAGCTCTACTTTTAAGTTTCAGTTCATCTGTCCAACATGGTGCAGTCTTTCCTTGCACAATCATCATCACACTACCATCAGAAAGTAGTTGGTGTGACAGACCATAGTTGTGGAACACCCTTCCCACAGAAGCATTTTGTTAAATGATTAGAATCTTGCTTGGGGCTAGATATATAACAGGATATGTGATCTTGATTTTAGCTTCCCCCATTCAATTTTTTTATTGGTTGCTTGTTTTTACCAGTGACCCCTTCTTGTGTTTTCTAGGTATAAAGTACTCAGAAGTGGTTTACCATTTGTTAATTTGGGGATTACTCTGGGACTGTGCAGCTTGCCCAAGTCTACACAGGCTGGCTTTTCTCCTGGAGGCATGAGGTAGGGGGAACTGAACTCCCAAATGCTGGCTCTGCAGCAGATACCTAAAACACTGAACTATTCAATCAGCCCAATAGTACCTTAAAAGCTAATGAATTCATTTACAGCATCAAGTATATGCTCTACTATTGTTTGTTTTTATTCAGCCTAGTATTAATTTGCTTTTAATTCAAATCTCTTTTAATATTATAAACATTATAACTTTTGGAGTTTTTAATCTTTCACTGCTTCTGTTCTCATTTTGCTATGTCTTGAATCCCAGCTTTGGGAGAAAGACAGGATGTAAATCAAATAAATGAGTTGAAAAGGTAGGATGAGGTGGGCTCTGGTCCAAAAAAGCTCACAGGACTCCTTGTTGTTTGCACTTTCAACCAGTGCCTCATAAACCCTCTCCTGACTAATTTAGGGCTGGTAAGTGCATTATAAACAAACAAACAAACAAACAAACAAATCCAATCAATCTTTGTTAAAAACAGATTTAAAATGTCTATTTTACAGCCGCACATGCTGTACCTCTCTGGCGGCTCTTTCTCCAGCTTCCACTGCCCCTTCCATGTAGCCACTCCACTGTGTAGCTGTTTCAGTGCCAGCAAAGTAGATCCGACCCGCTGGCTCGCGAAGGATCCTTTAAAACAGGTACTCAATATAAGAACCAATCAATATTTGTTAAAAACAGATTTAAAATGTCTATTTTACAGCCGCACATGCTGTACCTCTCTGGCGGCTCTTTCTCCAGCTTCCACTGCCCCTTCCATGTAGCCACTCCACTGTGTAGCTGTTTCAGTGCCAGCAAAGTAGATCCGACCCGCTGGCTCGCGAAGGATCCTTTAAAACAGGTACTCAATATAAGAAGTACAAAGAAGACATTTCTTTGTTTTTAAATTGGGTGACATTTTAAATTGGGTGACAGTATTAGTAATAATGCTTAACATTATTCTACTGCATGCGTTTCATAACCTATATCCTTTCTGCCTTTTTTTGAGCTTTCTCCAGATATTCAGGGCCAAGCTTAAAAAAAAGTAAACTAGGCCTTCTAGAACCTGCTGTTTACAATGGAAGGGGGACCTCCATGGGTTTTATGACACAGCAATGCTCCTGATAAAACCCTGAATGACACAAACATTTGGGGTTTTATCAGGAGCATCACTGGCTAAGATCCCTCTGCCTAAACCCCGTGGTTCTGCTATTGTCATGCCCCCCCCTCCTCAGGTTGCTAATTGTGTTAATTCTATCCATTCATTTCACAGATCAAAATATGTCACCTCTAGTTTGAACCTTGACTGACTTGGGTCTCGCCCACTGTGTTGTGCTGCACATTGGTGTCCCTTTGCCAACAACTGCTTTCAAAATATAGAAGTGACAAGAAGGAAGCGCAGTGCTGAGCAGGAGCTTAAAAATGTGACACTGCTTCAACAAAAAAGTCCCCTGCATGTGAGACTGAATCTAAAATTTCATACACATCTAAGGTTAACTTATGGAAAGAGAAGAAAATGGGAATAATTAATGATTTATCACTTACTATCAAATCAAACAACACTAAAAAATAACAACACTGGGCTCAGCCAAAACACCCTTATGGCCAGCAGAGGGCACACTTGCACACTGTTGTGCATGGAGATCAGTAAGGTTGAAATTGTCCAAAGGGATATTTGATGCAGCCAGCTTGGAGAAGAGGAATCCCTAGGTAAGGGAAAGGACACACATTCAACCCTCTAGCCTCTCTTATTACTCAAAACTGGGCTGAAGTACCTGCTGGGGATCACAGGCACAAACTCACTGTAGCAGCAGTCACTCTATGTGCAACACATGGGATGTGAGATTGCAAGGAAATCAGTCCACACTAGCCTGCCAAGAGTGTTTGTCCAATCAGTGTTGCTAATTTGCTGCATTATTCGCATATTACAAATACAGGATTTTAGCTGGCTCATTCCTTATGGAGGCAAACTGATTGCTGATGGCTTTACAGTAAACAAGGAATATATAATTTGCTTATGTTAATATGTTTAAGATGCTTCCACATAGTATAAACATTATTTTGAGAGGTTTGGAATCATCTGCATTAAGCACTAGGATGGAAGTGTAATAACATCTGCTTAAATAAAGATGCAATCCTATCTACACTTTCTCAAAAGTAAGCACTACTGAACACAATAGGAATTATATCTGGTGAATATGCATCAGATTTAATTGTATGTGATCAATTAACTTGTTAAGGGAACTGTTGTCTAAGCAGTGGGAATGGCCACCAGTGGTTAAAGGCATGGTTGCTAATCTATCTCATACTACATTAATCTGTTCACAGCTTTCATAACCAAGCCAGTCTCTCTACACAGATCACTCATCTTGACTCCTACTAGCCCTCTCCCACCAGCATGCCGAGTAGTTAAGAATGATGATTAGGCATCCTTCAGTCTTGAGAGACTGGTAACGTGCTCTGAGTAGAGGGAACAGCATCTAGTGTGGCTGGGAAGGCCAATATGAGAGTGACAATCCCTTCCACACTGAAGACAAATACAGTCTGTCCCCTATCCAGCTCCCTGATTTTGCTACCTAAGAATGATGATGGTTGTAGCTATAGGCAGAACACGGGGAGTTCCTCAAACATTTTCAGTGAATCCCCTTTTCCGCCAATGAGTGCCCCCCCCAAGTTTAATTGAGTTAACGAATTATTTTTCCTGATATTATTACCCCACTATCTTTCCATTGTCTTCCTTTTGTTAAGCTTCTTAAAGAACCACCCTTGTTTATTGTTACCATACCTTCCAAACTGAGTCATTATCCCGGGTGGGAAATAGGCTGTATAGCACCCTCCAGAATACTGCTCTTCACACCAGTTCTTCTCTTCATAATGTACTGGCTACAAAGGCACAATCAACAAAAATATGAGGCCGGCCAACAGAAAACTTAAAAATCCATCAAAAAACAAATGGAGAAGGGAACAGGAAGCTGTGAAATATATGATGGCCACCTATAGCACTTTTAATAGTACTTATTTGTTTATTTATAACCATCAAATTAAATGGCAATGGTAAAACTACAGAGGGAGAGAAGAAAACAAGAAAATCTGAGAAACCCTGTCTCCTTTCTGCCCCTGCTTTTTCTTACTTCTTATTACTGGTGCATACAAAAACACAGCACAAACTTGTTATATATTTCCTAGTCAACCTGCAGGTGACTCACTGACAGCAACAGAATTTGAAATGTTGATATAGACATTTTCCATATGCTGTTTTTCCAGTGAAATTGAGTTAAGTTACATTACAAACACACTGATTTATCAAGATCCCACTGATTCAATCAACCCACTCTGGCTGGGACTATTAGCTGGTTTTGGGTCACTGCACTGGAAAGTAAGGTTCTTACATGTAAAGCTTCCTGTGAGGCCAACACCTTTGCGTAGAGCTCACAGATCTGGGTTTTCCTACAGGAGAAATATTGATGAATTATTGATTGTTCATTAAAACCTTTGTTACACAAACAAGCAGTAGTCTGTTCTGGGAGTGGATCAAAATGCTTTTGAATTTGAGATTTTTGTGCTTTCTTTTAAGCAACTGGCTTTTAAAGCCCCTCATAGTCAACAAGCACAAGCCAACATGCACATGGACACATGCGCAAAGCAAGCTTTGACAATGTGCATGAAAACTGGTATCTGAAAGTAGAACCACATGTGCAGGATTGTCCCAAAATCCAAGACAACCCTTGCAATAGACTGTTTGAAGATGGGAGAGGAAGTGTGTGGATTTGCCCCCAACCTCCCCGTTCCCCTTTCAAAAGCTGATCTGCAGGATTTTTTTTATCTTAAAAAATGGTTCTGGCATAAGCATCTTAGACTGCTCTGTACGAGGAGGAAGAACACCCCTGCCATAGGAGACCTGCTATCACCACCTGTTGGGAGGGAGGGCTGAAATCAGTCGCATGCCCAGACATGTGACCCCACCTGTTCAGACAGCACATTGTGTATACAACCCCCAGACAAGCCATTCATTCTATGCTTCACAAAACATAAAGAGTTTAAACTTGGCAAACAAAAATGTCTTCGTTTTAAACTCGAGCCCTTAAAAGCCATGAGGCGTTTTTAGAGACGGGCACATTTTCCACAACAAATACAGGGCTCAGTCCTTTTATGGCACTCCCTGAGACATAGTTCGGCATCCAATCATTTCACAGGAACAGAATTTAAGCTACACAACAGTGGCAGATGTTTAATAGTTCTTACAGTGTAGACAATAAATACAGTGTGGTATTTATGGCAGGCTAAAAGGCTAAAAGGCTAAAAGTCGTATCACCAAGAAATTAACACTCTGCTATTACACAAACACACGTATATACAAAAGACAAAATCTTGATTATGTCACTTCATGCTGGCATAACCTGGACATCAGAAATATTTAATCTTTAATTTAAAATCATGGAAAGTTTCTTAGGGAGCCTTTAAAAGTTTTTTTTTTTAAAAAAAAAAAATAGGGCCAGGATGCTGACAGCAGTTCCAATCCCAGCGGAAGTGAGGTTTTCCCCTCTCCTAACCTGAACTCCCATAGGATACACCAGGGCAAAAAGAAGCATCAAAACCTGAAAGGTGGAGGGGATAGGAAACTTTCCATGAGTTTAAATTAAATGTTTCCAGTGGCTAATTTGGGTTACACAAGCACAAAGATACCCAGAATTTTGCTCCCAGTGTATGCATGTGAAATATAAACTGGAATAATTTTACTGACACAACGCTCACTAGCATCATTCACATGACACCCTCGTCCCCCAAAAGCAAGGGATCAACACCGAATGTTGCATCTTGATGTCAGAAACAACACCCAGTACTTCATAGTTCATACCTTTCTTCCTTAGTGAGGTGAGCCAATCTTCTACACTTACGAGCAAGGATGAAACTAAAATATTAAAATGCAAAAAGGGAGAAAACAAAGAAAACCTTACTTCTTATACCATTTTGTTTTTCATGTGCTATCAGGTCAATCCTGACTTACGGCAAACCTTTTCAGGATTTTCCAGGTAAAGAATACTCACAAGTAGTTTACCATTCCCTACTTCTAAGGGATACCCTGGGACTGTGCAGCTTGCCCAAGGCCACACAGGCTGGTTCTACTCACAGGAGACACAGTGAGGAAGCAAATTCCTAGCCTTTGGCTCTGCAGCCAGATACCTAAACCACTGAGCTATCCAGGCTTAATATATTTCCAATGCCATAAAAGAAATATATTTTAATAAATATATATTTAAAAATACATTGAATAGATGCTCATAGTATATGGCACTCTAATGTGCTTTAAAACAACAACAACAACAACAACAACAACAACAACAACAACAACAACAACAACAACAACCTGTCAAATGCTGCCTAGTGGCATCTTTTGATATGACATGACAACACTCCATGCCAAATAAAACTGTGGCATTTCTTCCCATATTTTTAGGGTAGTGCAGAAACTGGGAAGTGTCCACTTTCCCAGTGAAAAACAAAAGGATAACTAAGGGACAATTAGCTGAGGAACAAAAGGAGAACCTAGTTATTCCTGTCATGCCTTGTGGGCTCTTCCCTACAGACATTTTGTTGGCCACTGCAGGAACAGAATGCAAGACTAGAAAGACATTTGATCGGATCCAGCCCAGTTCTTCTTATGTTTCTATGTATAGGATGGCATAGCAGACAACTCTCAAATGAGAAATATGGACCTCCCTCTTTTTAATGTTAGCACTGAAGTGTGTAAACAGATGTATAACTTAGGGATGCAGTAACTGTTCCCTAAATTCCTAACTGATTTTGGTTGCCTCAACTCAATGAGACATCACCCCGACAAGGGTTTGGAAAGCCCCACAAGATTTCTTGCCTGCATCTGACAGCAAGACCAAGATCTGCACCCCACCCCTATTAAGGTCCTTGTAATTTTCACACACAAAAATTGTTCAAAACAAGTTTCCTTTCCCCTTGAGAAGTAAAGCACAACACAAATAACAAAGACAAAAGGACTGGTTGATTGTCCAGAAAGAGTCAAACAACCCCTCCAAAGCTTAAAAGCATTTAATTTCCATTAACCTAAAGGGAAGTTGTCTGTTTTTCTCAAAAAATTCAACCTCAGAGGACAGAAATCAGATCAGCAGCAAATCTCATGTTGTTGTTGTAGACAAGCATTCTCCACCTCACTGGAAAGAATGAAGTAAGCAATGATTCACATTCCTGGTGTGATGTATACCTTTCTTCTGCCTGATGTGCAAAAAAGTATGCAGGTAAAAGAAAACAGGTAAAAAGTTAAATCTCTTAGGGCTCATCTACACAGGCCCTTTTGGAGTGGGCTGATGTGGTCTAAATAGGATCGCTTGATGTCGGATAGAGGTGTGATATGTTATTGCTATGAGTTTCACATTCAAATGGAATAAGAATCTCAAGCAACCCTATTTAGTCTGGCTCATTCTGCTGTCAATTTCTGATATTTATTTATTTATTTATTTATAAATCTCTTAGGGCTCATCTACACAGGCCCTTTTGGAGTGGGCTGATGTGGTCTAAATAGGATCGCTTGATGTCGGATAGAGGTGTGATATGTTATTGCTATGAGTTTCACATTCAAATGGAATAAGAATCTCAAGCAACCCTATTTAGTCTGGCTCATTCTGCTGTCAATTTCTGATATTTATTTATTTATTTATTTAATTATTTATTTATTTATTTATTTAACTTATATGCCGCCCACACTACCCAAAGGTCTCTGGGTGGCTTACAGCATTTAAAATACAATAAAAAGTGAAGTGGCTTAATAAATGAGCCACTTCACGATATCAACAAATTGAACACTCCCCCTGTTCCTTATTGTAAAGGCAGGGGAATTGAAATTATGATGATGATTTACTCTGCTAGATCATTGCTGGTGTGCTGCATCACTTAGATTATTTTTTTTTAAAAAATCTATGCCTTGTTGAAAGTGCTGACCAGGAAAACATCAGCAGTCAAAACCAGTTTCTTGATTGGCACTTCAGACAAGGGAAAG